AAGCGAGCATCTCAGAAGGGCTGTAACAAAATTCCGGCCACAGACCTGTTAAAGCAGGGGTCACCAACCTTTCGGACCTCAGGGACCACTAAATTCATAATTTTAAATCCAGTGGACCACTAATATGATTTTTTTTAAAAAATAAATAAATAGTATTTAGTGCAATATTTATAACTTAAATAATTTTTCTGCAGACCACCAAAATTTTCTCACGGACCACTGGTTGGTGACCACTGGTCTTAAGCAACAATGAAAACAACTTGTTCTTCCCTTTCCAATCCCAGTTGCTACTGTTTTAACACTTGTATCTCCCACAGTTCAGAGATGTGAAATTGCTCTGAACCTGCTTTTATGAACTGACAGAAGCTTTCATGAGCTAATCACACATTACTACAAGAAAGAACACTTTCTTCACATCTAGTTGTAGATATACACACAAGGAAACGAACAAAACCTTTACATTCAAGCTTCTTTCCTAACTCAGGGGCTCCAGCGTGAGCACATACAGTGCAGCTAAATAAGAGGCAACTTAACCCACAGCCCGCATGGCTTGCATTTAAGCAAATATGGATCCTATTTTTATGCACACGTTTTTTCCTCCTTTTTGGACTGCTTGTTGAAACTCTGCACAACATAAGGCATTCATTGCCAAGATCTTCTTAGAAGACCCTTGTGAAAGTTATTACTGTGAAATATTATAGCAGAAGTGTTCTGTTGGTTTTAGAGGGACATGGTTGGAAGTGTGTTTCTTAGTGCAGTAAGAGAGTTGATTAGCTTGTATCTATTTTCCTTTGTTTCCTGGCCCCATCAAGCAACCGGTTGCCTAAAATGCTATTTGATGATTGACCCTGCCCTGGGCTACAGAAGATCCCAATGTGCCACTGAGCCAGTTCCCCGTTGCTTTTCGTTGTGTTCTCTTTCTGGCTGCGAAGCTAGTTTAAAATCAAGCCAGTTCTCCGCTCTACGCAAAAGTGACCTGGTTTCTTGCACTGCCCACCCCGCTTTCGGTTAACAACCGTGGACTAAACCCCGCAGTAACGTCCTCCATTCGAACGACCGTCGACCGTCAGTTTCGACCGATCCAACTCTTTTTATCCAACCCCACGACTGGCACGGCAACGAGGGAGGATCATAACCCCGCCACCCGGCAACATTGTTCTCGCCCTTCGCCCGACCGGTTGCTTAGCGATTGTCCTAAGGAGCTCGCCGCCACCCTCGCCTCGCAAGCGCCCGGTTTTCCCGGCGAGCCCCGAAGGCGTTTCTCCACCAGACCCGGGAACAAACTCTCCGCTCTTTCGGCTGCAGCCACCCCCACCGCCCACCCCCGGAAAGCAGGCATGCAGGCATGCAGGGCTGCTGCCGCCCCCCTCAGCCGAGCTCATGAAGCCAGGTAAGCACTTTTTTGCCTTCCCTCCTTAGGATTCCTATGAATCGGACAAAACGGGAAGGCGGCGCAGGGGCCCACGGCGGACTACCCATTTTTAATATATATATATATTATTTTATCGGAGCGACTTCTTCTTCCCCACCTTTCCCGACAGGAATTTGCACCCCCGGGAACGACGGTGGGCTCAGAAGGCAGGCCAAACCGTCTCATCGGGTCTCCAGAAAGGGGGAAAGAAAGCGCAAAAGACAGAGGGAGGGAGAGAGAGAATGAGAGAGGGAGGGAGGGAGAGAGAGAAAGAGAGGGGGGAAAGAGAGAGGGAGGGAGAATGAGAGAGAGGGAGAGGGAGACCATGCAATACCGTTGCAGGGCAACTGCGATTACCTTAGCAACCGAGGCTCGGCGATGGGTCCCCTTCTGCTTTTAGATTTCGGTTGGGCGGCAGAGTCCAGCCTGGCGCATGGCCGGGAGGGCTCGGGTGGGGCGGGGTTGGGGCGAAGCAGCGCGGAGAAAGCGGGCGGAATGCAAAGAGCCTCCTCGTAGCTTCTGCGGGGCTCTCTGTCGCTCCCACCACCCGCGCCGCCTCTTCAAGACACGCTCGGTCTGCCTGGACGCGCCTACCGGCGGACAAACGAGGTAAGTCAGGGATGCGGCGGGGGGCTCCGTCTCTCCAAGGTGGACCCTGAAGGATTGGAGTAAGCCAGAAGAACATGCTCCGGAGGGTCACGGCTTTCCGCTGCCCGCCGTCTCTCCCCATTCACTTCGACCCGTTGCCCATAACTCTCCCGTCGCTTCGGGGAGCCGCCAGGAAGCACTCGGGGCTTCGGGCTGACTGAGAGGCGGACACCGAAGGCGAAGCGAAGTCCGAGATTTCTCCCTGGCGAAGCAGCTTGACTGCAGTAGCAGCAGCTCCCTCTGCAGGCCGCGGGGGGGATTGCGCCGCTGTTTGCTCCCACCTGGAGACGGACGGGGCGAGCGGCTGAGCGGGCGAGCGCTTTGGCCTTATAAGGAACCGCCTAGCCAGCGATTCCTCCGTAGCCGCGTCCTTGGTTGATTTCGATTTCCGCAGCTTGCTTGTATGTAGGGAAGAAACCGATGGTCTCGCATTCTGCAAATGACTGGGAGGAAGCTGAAGCTCTCACCAGTAGCTGCACTACATACAGGTCTGGCAACTTGAGTTATGGGACCCTCGTCTAAGTTGCTTGGAGGGGGTTGAAGTTGGAGAAGGTGCAAAGATGGCAGCCTTTGAACTGCCATCTCAGCAAGCCAGGTTTACTAATCAGTGTGGAAAGCTCAACTTTTAATCCTCCTATATTTACCTCAGAGGGACGTGATGGCTCAGTGGCTAAGACACTAAGCTTGTTGATCAGAAAGCTCGCGGGTTCGAATCCCTAGAGCTGCGTAATTGAGTGAGCTCCCATGACTTGTCCCAGCTTCGGCCAACCTAGCAGTTCGAAAGCATGTTAAAAAATGCAAGTAGAAAAAATAGGAACCACCTTTGGTGGGAAGGTAAAAGTGTTCTGTGCGCCTTTAGTCCTGCCGGCCACATGACCACGGAGAATGTCTTCAGACAGTGCTGGCTCTTCAGCTTTGAAACAGAGATGAGCACCGAGCCCTAGAGTCGGGAATGACTAGCACATATGTACGAGGGGAACCTTTACCTTTATATTTACCTCAACAACAAGCCTGTGAGGTAGTTTGGATTGAAAGAGAGAGAGTGACTGGCTCAAAGTCACCAAACTGGCTTTCATGCCTAAGGTAGAACTAGCACTTTCCATATCCTGGTTTCTATCCTGGTGCCTGGTGCCTTAACTACTAGAGCACACTGGCCTACAGCACGTAGGCCAGGATGTATCAATCCACTGATCTTAATGAAGCCAAATGTGGGCTTTTCATGATTAAGCAAGTCTGTTAAGGGGAAAAGATGGAATTGCTTTTGAATTGTGCTAAGAAGAGTATTGGTGGTAAAAGCACTGCTTTTGCTTTCCTTACTCGAGGGCAATTTTTTTTCTTTCCTCTACTTGAAAGAATTTTCAGAAGAAATAAATTTCCTTGAAGAAATCCTGCAGGCAAAGCTGGCAGTTTGTTTCACTGGTATCATGAACAGACTGTCTTGAAGATTGACAGTCATCTTTGTTTTAGAGAAGCAGATTCAAGGTGATTGAACAGTGGATTTGTCTTTTAGGGCAGAAAAGACTATCTGAAGAAGAAAACCACACAGTCTGGGAAGTGAAGAGAGATATTTTAGAAGGACGTTAAGGTTCTTCTTGGTAGATGCTAAAGTTATCAGGTAGCTTAAAGAAATTCTTCACAATCTAAAAGCCAGGAACAAATTACAGGTAATCCTCATTTTATGACCTCAATTGGAACCATTGCTAAGCAAGGTGGTTGTTAAGTGAGTTATACCCAATGTTACAACCAACAGTTGTTAAGCGAACCATTGCGGTTGTTAAGTGAATCTGACTTCTCCCATTGATTTTGGTCGTTGCAAATGGTAATCACATGACTCTGGGATGCTGCAACCATTGTAAATGTCTGCTGGTTGCCAAGCAGCTAGATTTTGACCCCATGATCATGTGGACGATTGTGTAGCGATTGAAGGGACTTGTAGGCCACTTTTTTCAATGCTGTTGTACCTTTGAATGGTCCGTAACAAATAGTTGTAAGTAGAGGACTACCTGTGTGATTTCAGGGGAGAAACACAGACCTTGCAGTGGCTTTAAACTCCATTTTGCAACCTGTACTGAAACCTGTTTTTTCAGATGGGCTCCCCAGAAATAAAATGTTCCATGCAGTTCTTCATTGCAAGGATACTGAAGTCTGTTGGACAAAAGTATTCATTCTTACTATCCTATATTCATTATTAACGAACTTGAGCAAATATATGTTTTACATTTGAGTTAGATTCATAAATTTGGAACGGATTTGCTAAAATACCTTCAACAGGGATTATTCAACCTCTTTTTGATGAGCTCTAATGGAGGAGAACTTACTATTGCATAAACATCCTTTCCCACGCGTTAACCATGAAAATTACAATTAGTAGTAATTTATCTAATCTGAAATCTGCACTTTTGACCCATTTATTCTCATCTTGTTCTCCCAAGATTACGGAGAATAACGTTACTCTTACTTACCTGTGATACTATTTTTAATATCTAAAAACTGATAGTATACCTTTCCCCAGTCTTCTATATGCTGAACATACCTAAATGTTGTAACTTTCTTATAGGACTTGGTTTCCAATCCCTTCAAAATGTGGATAGATCTCCTCTGAACATGATCCAGTTTGTTAACATCTTATGTTCATCAGAACTGGACACAATATTGAAGGGAAAGTGACCAAGGCAGACTAAAATCATAAAGCCTTTACATCATCCCATCAAATATTCTTCCAACCTAGGCTTTCCCAACAGAATAGAAATACTGTAAAGGGGCATGAGACAGCAATCTGAGGATATAAATATTTACTTTAAATCTATTATTTATTTATTTAGAAAATTTATATCCCTGCTCATTTTAAGTACATAGCTCTGGGCAACAAGATGATATAAAACCATAATACATTGCAAGGAACATTAACATTGTAAGGAATTATTGGATGATAATGATTTTTTAAATCATTTCCATGTTAAAGGACAGCAATAACAATAGCACTTAGACTTATATACTGCTTCCTAGTGCTTTACAACGCTCTCTACACAGTTTACAGAGTCAGAGTCACTCTGAGTCCTCATTTTATCAACCTTGGAAGGATGGAAGGCTCAGTCAACCTTGAACCAGTCAGGATTGAACTGCTGGCAGTTGGCAAAGTTTGCCTGCATTATTGCATTCTAACCACTGCACCACCACAACTCAGGATAGATACCATCTGTCTATTGCTATCCACTGGGAATTTACATCTAGTCACATATCAATCTGTATTAGTGACATTTTGAGCACCAAAGATACATATGTTATTAGAGGTGATCACTGTATCGAATAGATAAAAAACCCACAACAATTAATCTTTATAAATATTTGTAATTATTAAACCAGTTTGACATAAATAATTTAAAAATGAAACAGAACAAGGATTTAGAGATCCATTTTTCTATGCAATGGAAAATTGTCTTAAACATCTATATCAAACATTTCCATAGATCTTAGATTTCAGCTTAGCCAACAAAAACATTTTGAACCATTGGATAAATTGTGTGATACAATGAGAATAATACTATGGATTCTTGGTGCTCTCTGGGCTCAATTGTTTTCTTGCAACCAAGCCCAGAGAGCAGGAAGGACCCACAGTTCAACCATGAGCTACAAATATTCTCTTCTATCATTAATACTTTATTAAAACATGCTTTTTCTGATATCCTAAAGTTTTTCATTTACACATATTAATTTAATTTTAATACAGGGTTTAATGTATATGAACACTCATCCTACATTCCTATTACATGGAAATTTACTGCTGGGCAACATAAATTCTCCATATCCTTCTTTCTTCTAGGAGACATGGTCCTTCAATGTTGTGACAATAAATTTATGGACCAGTTATTCAATGGTGTGAAGATCTGGTGTCACTGGTGAGGATGAAGATGTTCCCTACAGATATACATTAGGTATGGACAAGATATGGTCATTTCAAAAGTTGTACAAAACATTTGTCAACTTCAAACTGAACCTGGCTGCAGCCATTTTTCTGTTCCTCGGTTGCCACACGGGGAAGGGGGGAAGGAGGTTGGAATCCATAAGACACAACAAAGAAGTTTCTCATGAGAACCAAGGTCATCTCTACTGGCAACAGTTAAGGTTGGGAAAGGAGTAGCTGAAGTACCCAATTGGCCAACGTGACCTGTAACACTTGGAGCTGGGGTTATTTCCTAGTTTAATTATACTGAAACTGCGGGAAAGATTGAGATTTGGTTTTCCATTCAAGCTGTGCTGATATGATGTACTCATTAAAAAAGACCTTTGAGAAGAAGCCAAGTCTCAGTGTTCTGATTTGCTTGGGTTGATTAGTCAGAGCCTCAACATTATTGTTGACATGTCATACTTATATGGGAAGCCTATATGGGAAGCCACACAGAGTGTGGGCCACACAGGGAGATGGGCAGCAAATAAATGTAACAAGTAAATATCTATATTGTTGTTTTGCTTTTTCAACTAGCTGATAACCTGGCGTTGCCTGGCTATTTATTTATCCTAATCTACACATTTGTCCTCAAAAATAATCCTGGACCAAATGTAATTTCTAATGTTGGATTTCCCCCCGTACCAGAGCGAGCCCCCTTGTGGAGTACTGTGAAGCCATTACCATGGCAACTCCACTGTGCTGTTCAGTAGAATCCATTTTACGGAAGTAGAGTAGAAGCCATTTTAAGGCACAACAGGCTGTATCATAACAGAACACCCTCCTGGGGGGTTTTAGGGGTGTCTTACTCCCACAGTATTTGTTTCCAGGGAGCAAGTCATCTGTGTATCATAGATGGTTGAAAGTGCTCGAGGCATTCCAGTGTTATACTGGAACACACACACACACACACACACACACACACACACACCACACACAGCCATGTATATATAGAGATATACATTCTGTTTGAATAAAAGGAAAGGATACATACACACAGAGCTGGAGAACTCCCTGAATTGATGAATAAGAAAGAATCACTTCATCACAATGCTGCTTAAGGCCCCAGTCACTCCTAAATTCCAGGAAGCGACAAATTTCTTTGGATCTTGGGAAATTAACCAGGTAACTTCTGAAAATCAAAAGGCTGTATTGGACTCATGCAGTGGTTCAGTCGTCAAATAGATCTATGCCCCATGCTGTAGTAGAGGGCTCTTCCACAGGTGTAATAAATTGCCCTGACTATAATAAAGGAAAGACTTTAATGGTCCCCAGCTTCAGACTGCATCTACCCCAAGACAAAAACGACTTCTTACGTGTGGCTAATTGCTAGCCTTATTCCGTATAATTCTCCACCTGACCCCTATAGTACCATTAAGTTCCCAGGAAAGAGCTTTAGAAACCCATTTCCTGAGACATATTTTAATCTGATTTTTAAAAGACTCTTAATTTATTAAGTCCCTTTGCAATAGAGGGAAAGTCACATCAATATCAGATACCTCAGTCTAGGCTAATACAGAAAGAGGAGTGAGCTGTATGGGAATCTCAAAATAATAGTACATAATAAAGCCATCCTGTATTAAAACCCAGCAGAATTGTCATATTCTTTCAAGCTTCAGTGGCTTTAATGCTCAGCTATAATAGTTAACAAACAAAAAAACCCCAACCCTCACCTTTCCATCATACAGCAAGATAATGTGTCATATTAGTTCTGGCAATATTCCAGTTTGATTTATTTTTCTTGGGAAATTTAATGTCATATACTGTACATGATTTTTTTAAAAAGAAAAATCGGTAAATTACCTGCGAAAGGAGGTAATATCTTCTTTCTAAAACAGCCTCTACAGGCTCAAAACACATTTATCATCACGTGTTTCTGAGCCTTGCAGTCATGCGTCCAATTTTATTTCCTGCTTTTCTGCACATATCCTGGAGATTTAAGAGAAGAACTGCAAAGGAGAAAAGGCTATAAAATGCAAAGATTGAAATAAATTTGTTGAAAGAAGGGCATGAATTAATTTGTCCTACCGTTTTCTGACAGGGCCTGAATTAATTTGTCCTACCGTTTTCTGACAGGGCCTGAATTAATTTGTCCTATTAAACCAGCAGGACCAGGGATCCTCTCTTAACAACTGGGGGATTTGGTTAATGACAGCAACTGACAGTGCCAATATTGTTGTCCCTAAACAATGTAATCTTATGTCGTCATACTTTACAACCATATCACTTAGTGATAGAGATTCCAATCTTCGTTACCATCATAACTCAAGGACTATCTGTACATGCAAAGCCTTTCATACTTATTGCCTTTATTTTGCATTAAATCATTTTATAGTATTCAGTGTCCATATCAAAAAATTTTTTGCATGAATAGGACTGTTTGACAAGTTGGATGATGATTTGTTGCTGATCCAAACTATAATTTTGGAATTTTAGGATGCTTATGGAAATATAAACTTGTTTATTTATAATTGCTTGCTTATTCACTTGGTTCCTTGCTTAAAAATAATCCCTCGCATTTAGCATTCTAAATATTATATATGGATTGTTGTTATATTGATAGCTATATTGATTGATTGAATATTATACTGATTATTTCCAAGTAGGATTTGATTGCTTATTTGTACTCCATGACTATCATTAAGTGTTGTACCTTATGATTTGTGACAAATGCATCTTTTCTTTTGTGTTCACTGAGAGCAGAGGTGGTATTCTGCTGGTTCATACCAGTTCAGGTTAACTGGTAGTGGCGGAGGTGTGAGGCTCTGCCTACCCACCCTGACAGACCTGCACATATGCAGAAGATTCTGCACATGCCCAGATGTGCACACACTTCTGCTTTTAAACTGGTAGTGAAAATAAGAGGATTTCATGCCTGACTGAGAGCATATGCACCAAGACAAATTCCTTGTGTGCCCAATCACATTTGGCCAATAAAGAATTCTATCCTATTCTATTTGTTTCCTGTGACTAAAACTACATTTCATTGGCCGAGGAAAAGATGCTGTTAAAAGTGATAGATATAAGGTTACAGATTTGTGTGTGTGTGTGTGTATGTGTGTTTTATTTGTGCTGATAAATAAATAAAGGGAGACTAGTATAGATCTATTTCAAGCTATTTAGCTCTTATCAGCTAGCGATACCCTTACTGGGATTCGAACCTGTGCTGTATTGCATCTTAGGCAAACGTCTTAGCCATTATGCCACAGGTCTCCTCCTTATCAGCTGAAGCCAGGTCTCCTCCTTATCAGCTGAAGCCAGCCATATATATATGTGTGTGTGTTTTTTAATTTGTGCTGATAAATAAATAAAGGGAGACTAGTATGGATCTATTTCAAGCTATTTAGCCCTCATCAGCTAGCCATACCCTTACTGGAATTTGATGGACTCTTGTGACGAGCCGATTGACAGATGATGGAAGCAGTTAGCTTCCTCCCATAATTGGGGCTTACCAGGGGTTGTAAAAATCTAATTAAATATATATATTTAATTCCATCAAGTATATTTAGAGCATTTAATGATCAGCTACCATATCATCTTTTGTATTTACAGTAAGTAGAGAATTTTTTTAAAGCATTTTATATAACATTGTCAATTGCATTTAAATGTCAGTTCAGATAACACAGGACTTGCTATTGTGCTATAAATTTAGAACCCTAAATGCCTCAACCTCTTTGCTGAAGGTCTGCTTATTTTGTAAATATTTAATACCTCTACTTAGGCAATGAATTGATTAGTAAGGATGAAAACTTTACAAGCAGAATAAAGATTGTTCTTACACAATGCAGAGTCAAATGCCATTCGGAAAAATACTGACAATGTTTTCTATACCATTTTGTTCTCTTTTTCTGCTTAGGTTTTAGCATATTAAATAAAAAATCATGAAATTTTATGATACATGTAGCCCTTGACAATTGGGACCAGAATTCTTAGCAAGGTGGCTACTAAGCGAGTCACGACTTGATTTTAGGACCTTTTTTTACCATAGTTGTTAAGCAAATCATTGCAGCTGTTGAGTGAATCATGGGGTTGTGAAGTAAATTCAGGTGGTTGCCAAAGTGCTAACATTTTGACCACAGGATCATGGAGGTGCGGCAACAATTGTAAGTTCAATGGCCGATTGTAAGTTATTTTTCAGTGCCATTGAAACTTCAAACAGTCACTGAACAAAGGGTTGTAAGTCGAGTACTATCTATTCTCTGGTACCATATGCTATATTCAAAAATATGTTGTACTCAAACATATGGTTCATACTTTTTTTTTAACCCATTCATAGTAGCGATAGAAAAAGATTTAAACATATAGATATGGTAGAATAACTCTACCAAACCTTGGGCCAAATTAAACATGGGCATTTAAATGTATGGTTATATTTAACCTATAATGTCTGTATATATTTACACTTAAGTCAGGATTTGTACGTGTTCAAATGATGCAATATTTGATTTGTTCCAAATTGTAAATTGATAGCAGATCATGTTAATATGAACCAAAATTCAGTCAATGTAAGGCTAACACATGTGCAATTCTGGTGGAGGTTTTAGATGCTGCTAATCTTCATGTGTACAAAATGGGGAAAAAAATATTCCTTCACAGGAAAACAGCAATATGCAAGCAAAGGAGTTCCTCCTTAAGGAATGTGAAGATATCTTTTGAGCTGTAAAAGTCATGAAGCAGACATTATGGCCTCAACTGAAGCATGCAAATTCACCAAGATGTAGATAAAACACTCTGCATCTACCTGCATATGTATGAAGATTTTAAAAAGGAGAAAACCATTCCATCTGTGCCACTGAAATAAAGAACTAAATATAAAGAAGAGTACCGGTAATCTAATGACATCAGGTAGAACAACCAGCCTTACAATTGGCAATGAAGATACTGAAGTGGTAGATAACATCTGAATTCAGGCTCAACCATCAAGAGTAAAGGAACACGCAGTCAAGAAATATGCTGCACTTGGTGGAGCAGCCTGTAAAAGGCCTTGGAAATGGTATGCAAATGCCATGATATGACTATTCCTAAGGAAGGAAAGGAAAGGAATCCCTGTGGATGTTAGTCCCCTAGTCATTGCTGACTATAGGGGGTGGCGGGCACGTTCATCTCCCTTTCAAGGCTGTGAGCCACTGCTAGCTGAAGATATGTGACCATGTGGTCATATGGCCAGCATGACATTGCGGAACATTGTTTCCTCCCAGTGGTGGGATTCAAATTTTTTTACTGCTGGTTCTGTGGGCATGGCTTGGTGGGCATGGCAGGGGAAGGATACTATGAAATCTCCATTCCTACCCCATTCCAGGGGAAGGATATTGCAAAATCTCCATTCCCTCTCAATCAGCTGGGACTCAGGA